CCCTCCCCCCCCCCCCCAGTATATATACACCACATATAACAGGACTTACTAGGTTTAAGAGGTCTTTAAAGGCCTTTGGAATGCATATTACAAAATGAAATAAGGAGAGAAACTTATTACATATTTCTACAGCTTGAAGAAATATACAGAATCATTCCTTCAGGATTTGTCCAAGAAAAAATTGGGGAAAACAGGGTTATTGAAGTCAGAGAGATACATCCATGTCAGCTATCTCAAGGCAGGCAAAGCCTTAGCAAGATTTATAGAGAACTGAAAGCACAAAAATTACTAAGAGAAAGTAATGTGTTTTCAGTTAAAATAAAAAATGGATAAAATTTCACTTTGCCTCCGAAGAATTTTGTTCTTTTCCAGTAGATCCTTGGGTGTCTGTTTACATCCTGCAGAGCTTCAGTGGGAAGTTCTCTGTGATGAGATGATCATCATGCAGAAGGACAACAATGTTAACTTCAAACTCTGGAAGAAGGGGGGAGAAAAAAAAAAAAGAAAAAAAAAGTTCCATATTACTCTGATTTGTAGCAGTAGGATGAGAGGCAAGCCATTCCCGCTCTCAGACTCGGCAGTTCACAGGGCTCTTACAAGCCATTTCAAAACCCTAAATTATCCTGTGGCAGGGATGAACATGGTACTCCAGGCAGATCCTCACCACAGGCATCCCAGACCTCGGGCCATTCCTAGAGAACCTTGGCTTGTTCTAATCTTTGGGATTCCTCTGGATTCTTTTCCATACTACTGAAAAACTATGACATGTAGTCTTCTGGACAAGAGGCAGAGTTCAGACATGCAAGATTAAAACGTTTTGGGAAAGATGCCTCATACCACTATGCACTGCTTAGAAGCATGGCAGTGGAAGAGTTAGGGAACAGAGTCCTCCCCTGCTGTCAGCATGTAACATAGCCTTAGAATCTTGCATTATGTATAGCCTTATGAAATGAACACCAAAATAAAATATACCTACAAACTGTGAAAAAAATTTCAAAAGAAAATCTACTCTTTAGGTACTATATTGTGTTGTTCAAAACCAAAATCAGTATCAGATCTATAATCAATCCTAAATGGAGACAAAATACAAAGTCAAGTAGAGTTAATAAATGAAGGGAACCAGGGACCAAAATAAACTGAAAATAATTGTCCTTTTTTAGAATCTTCATAACTATATAAAGACTGTTCTTATAAATAAAAGTAGATACTACAGTAACAGTGGCCGTTTGTCACTGTAAATTACTATTCAATAGCTAGAAATGAGAAAAAATAGGGAAGAATATTATTTTGGGAAAAATCACTGTACATATCAGGTGCAACAATGCTCTTTGGGGAACAGATAAACAGGCAGGCAAAGCTGAAAAACTACTTTTGTGCATTTCTCCAAGATAGACAGCATAAAAGCAGGACAGGCTTCGCTGGGAAGGATCCTAAAGGCAGGGACTTGCAGCTTCAATCTGATACAGTAAAATATTAAAAAAAAACAAAGCAAAAAAAACCAACCCTCAAACAACAGATTCCAGCAGGATAAAGGGAAGAAAAACATATTAACTAAGCAAATTTTTGCAGTAATTATTTGGACAAGTGAGGAAAATCCTAAGTTTCAGCTTTTTGTTAATAAAAATGTTGGATTTTGTCAGCAATAAGCAAGAAGCAGCAGCTGGTGTAGATCAAGAAAAACAAAGTCACCTACAGTCTAACCTTATTTTTCTACTCAAAAAGGAAAGAAAATGCAAAGAGGGGTTCTCACTGGTGATGAAAAGACAAGAAGGGGGTCTCGGCATTTTATTCTTGGACTGTTACTCAAATGTTCAGTCACATGTAATTTTTTGGCAGAAAAAACCCTACTTGCTATTGCACTACTTCTCCTGTCCCTGTACCATAATTCTATTAGTCAGAAGTAGCTTAATAGTTGCACAGCTGTTTTCAGTTAGAGCATTTGGGCTGTATTTTCTCAATCTATATGAAATACAGCAGACTACAGTCCTGTGTAAGAAACCTCTACAGGCAAACAGATGGATATCCTTGGTTCTTCTTGCAAGGCTGACAGCAATTTATCCCGTTACCTGCCAGAAGCTAAAGTGAAATTAGAAACTTTCCTCAGATGAAAGATGCCAACACAGCACAAAGTCCTATGCGCTTACCAACTTTGAAGTTTGTTGTTTCCAGGGTAGGGCAGGTGAACAGCCTGGGAAACACCATGTATATAGGAATTGGCAGGCCCCTGCAGACATCCCCATCAGCAATCTGAATGTTCTGTATCTCTGTGGCATCTCTGGCGTAACCTTCCGCGCATCCTGGTGGAAGTGGGAAATTCAGAAGGAGAGGAGTGGAAGGCAAAGAGAGAAGGGAAAGCAGTGGCCAAAATTTAAAAAAAAAAGATACACTGGGGTGGGGGTAAGGTATGTATGGGCAAAAGATTTTGCCCCTTGACCTGCACATTTTCACATGAGCACTCTGAGTTAAGGATCATAGATATTATTTATATTAATGTCTGGACTGTTCCACCTAAAGTGCAAAACAATTTTTTGCAAGTCTTTAATTGTATGGCTTTTAACAGTCTTTCATATTTAAGATGAAAGAGTGCAAGTGGTAATGATTGCAGTCTATTCTATACATGTTCCATTTACAGAAAAACTTACCACAGGTTTCCACACGTACTAGCTGCAGCTCGATACTTTTGACTGCAGCCTCTGCATTCTCCACTACCAGCTCCCCTGTTAGTGGCTGTGTAATGATACAGTTTGTAGAACTGAGATGACCTCTGATGAGAAATTTTGGAAGTGAGGCTCTCTGAAAAGATTGTGGGACGAGGGGGGGGAGACAAGACACAACTGTAAGAGCAGACTAAGAAAAAAATACCTTGCAGAAATACAGTTATCAAAGTATATAGGAAATCCACAAAAGTTGCAAAGTTAAGAACTCAAAAGTTCAGAAATGCCTCAAGTAACTTAAATAATATATCTTTAAATATGCATCCTTACACAGATGCATTACAATCTCTTACTACCCTCCCCCTGCCCCCCCCCCCCACACACACACTCATTCCATCCAAAGGAGCATTTTTTCTGGGATGAACTGACAAAACTTGGCTATTACAATTAATCTAGAAGTTACGGTGAAGGAGGTAGGCTGGCAGGATGTTCTGGTTTTGGCTGGCACAGAGTTAACTTTCTTCATAGTAGTTAGTGAGAGGCTGCGTTTTGGATTTGTGCTGAGAAGAAGGCTGGTAACATGCTGATGTTTATAGTTGCTGCCAACACAGTCAAGGACTTTTCAGCTCCTCTGCAGTGCCAGTGTCTGCAGGTGCAGGAGAAGCTGGGAGGGAGCACAGCCCAATTACTGGCTTAGGATTCAACCTTAGGTTTCAGATTGAGACACAGAATTGGCCAATGGTATATTCCATATCATGCATATCATGCCCAATATATTATTAGGGGCTATCTGGAAGCTCCCCCTCTGCTGCTCTCAGGGTCATATCACTTTCTTGGTCAGGAGATATCTTCACCATCCAACTTTCTTCAAACTCTTTGAGCATCCTGCTCTAACCTTCCACTTCTTTTGTAAGCCTTACTCTTCTGTCCCTCCTTAATTTTCTGTTATTGACATTTTATATGTTAGCCCCTACCTTCCAACCATCTGTTCACACTTGCTTGTGGAGCCAGATTTCCTTGCCCATGTAACTGATTTTCCCTTCTTCCAAACCAACTCTCTTGTCAAACTTTATTTCCTCCCAATCCATTTTGCTTCTTAGTCCTGGCTGCCAGTAGCAATGGCAGAAAAGTTCTCCTCAGCTACTGTTTAGACTGTTTCACTCAGATACCCAACATCTCAGCAGAATTTAGATGTGCCACTCAAAACAAATGTTTGGAGGAAATAAAAGGAGAGGAATTTTCATACGTTTAGTAAACTCGACCTTATTTGGGTATTTTCTCCTAATGTAAATAACAGAAATTACATCCCTGACAAAACGACTCTCTGAAACAGAGTCCTAACAATGTATTAGTAAAATTGTATGATCTCTAGCAGGTTCTTCCCATCACCACTATTAGTAAACACAGACTTACTTCCCTGCTTTAAAGGGACATCATATAGCTATCTCCTGAAGTGTAGTGGTCAGGAGCCTAAGAGACAGAGATAAAAGGAACTTGCAGAACAAGAACTTGAGTCCATTTTCCTCAATCCTAGTCTACAAGACTTTTTTTTAAAGGTATATTTCCCCTAGAGCCTTATTACTCATCAGTATTCTTCATATTTTAATCCTAGCTAGGTCTTCTCTCATAGGACCTATCATTTACACTCTATTTCATAATCCCCCAAAAATGTGAATAATTTTGCTCAAGAAGAGCAAATCTATCCTGTTTTTTCATCTGACCTCATTGTGCTTTGCTTGGTTACTGCCAACCTCCTAATCTGCCAGATATTAGATTTTACTCACAACCTCCAGACAAGCAGAGAATTGAAATTTTAATATTTTAAATGCACCAAAACAGTGACTTTTTCTACCTTTCCACCAAGTAGCCACTTCAGACCCATACATTTTTCTGAGACAGGGAGGAAAAAATAAAAGCCACTGCTTGTGCTATTATACACATTCAATACCATTCTTTAGACAGCTCCACAATTAAACACCAAGATCTGCTGGATCAAAAGTGTCAGAAGCTTCTGAATCTACTTTTGTGCTTATGTACTTGAAACAGAGAAAGGCACAGGGTCTGCTATTAAACTTAAGAAAGAGCTTTTAATGGACAGGATTTTCTCAGGATGTACACCGCTGAGTCTTTGTTAAGCCAATGAGTAGAGTATCAAGATACAGAAGAGAAAGAAGAAACAGAAAATAATTTACATGGAAACATGGTTCATAGGAAAAGCAGACTGCCAAGAGCTTAGTATTTAGCAGTAGTTTCAAAGTAATTTTACCACCAAGAATAGTTATTATATCCTTATATTTGGAAAAACACACACTTTGAGTGTGTAGCAGTCTCCAGAGACATGAGAGGCTGCTGGACACAACCTGATCAACCTCTGACTCAGCTGGAGTTAAGAGTTCAGCCATGACAACTGGTTGGTTTTCTAGAATCACCTCCCTCACACTAAAGAATGGTCTCTTCCAACACACAAAAAGTCAAGCAAAGGTAGGAAGAGACCTGCATGGATGAATAAGATGCTACTGATAAAATCATAAAAAGGAAATACGCAAAGGATGGAAGTAAGGTCAGGTGACCCAGGAAGAACATAAAAACACTGTGTGAGTGTGCAGGGATGGTTTTGGGAAAAGCAAGGCCCACCAGGAGTTAAATCAAGTGAGATGAAGGGCAACAAAAACGGCATCTGCAAGTCTACCAGCTGCAAAAGGAAGACAAGGGTAAACGTCAGTCTGCTACTGAATATGGCAGGGGACCTAGTGACAAAAGACATGAGGTGCTTAACGTCTTCTCTGCCTTGGACTGCACTAATAAGATTTGCCTTCAGGAATCCCAGGCCTCTGCAACCACAGGGAAAGTCTGGAGGAAGGAAGAGTTATCCTTTGTAGAGGAGGAGCAGGTTAGAGAACATTTAAGCAGACTGGATGTACCCAACTCCATGGGACATAATGGGATGCACCCACAAGTGCTGAGGAAGCTGACCCATGTCACTGTGAGGCCAATCTTGATAATCTTTGAAAGGCTGAGGAATGGAAGATAGTAAATGTCACTTATCTTCCATTAGGAAGATCCAAGGAACTACAGGCTCATCAGCCTTGCTTCAATCCCTGGGAAAATAATGGAGCAAAAAACCCTGGAAGCCACTTCCAAACACAGAAAGGACAAGAAAGTGGAAGACATCAGCATGGATTTATGAAAATTAAATCATGCTTAACCAACTTGATAGCCTTCTATGATGAAATGACTAGCTTAGTAGACAAGAAGAGAGCAGTGGATACTGTTTATATTGGCTTTAGCACTGGTTTTGATACTGTTTCTCCTAACAACGTCACTGACAAACTGATGGAGCACAGACTAGCTGTACAGGTCAGACACTGAGGTGGCCTGAGAACAAGCTGAACTGCCAGACTCAAAGATTTGTGACCAGTAGCACAAAGTCCAGCTGAAGGCTAGTCACTACTGGTGTACATAAGTGACTGGGGTCAATATCAGAGCCAATACTATTTCACATCTTCAATAAGGGCTTGAATGATGGCGCAGAATGCATCCACAGCAAGTCTGCAGATAACACAAAATAGGAAGGAGTGGTTGCTGAGCCAGATAGTTGTGCTGCCTTTCACAGGGACCTCAACAGGCTAGACAAACAGGCCTACAGCATCCTGAGCTGCATTAGAAAGTGTTGCAAACAAGCTGAGGGAGGTGATTCTCCCCATCTCTTCAGCACTGGTGAAACAAAACTGGAGGTAGTGTGTCCAATTCAGGACTTCCCAGTACAAGAAATAGACTTACTGGAGCAAGTCCAGCCTTTGCTGGATTTTACAATGAAGATGGTTAAGAGCACGTGACATACAGGAAGCGACTGAGAGCTGTGATTGTTCACCCCACAGAAGAGAAGGCTCAGGGGGATATTATCAATGCATATAAATACCTGATGGGAAGGAATAAAGAAGATGGAGTCAGACTCCTCTCAGTGGTATCTAGTGAAAGGACAAGAGGCTATGGGAACAAATTGAATTAAAGGAAATTACTTTTAAATTTTTTAATTTAAATAATTTTTAATTTATTTTTTAATCCTGAGAGGGTGGTCAAACACTGCAACATTTCCGAGTGGTTCCAAGTCTCCATCCTTTGATATATTGAAAAATTGACTACACATGGCCCTTAGCAACCTGCTCTAGATGACTCTACTCTGAGCACAGAGGCTAGACTAACCAATTTCTAGAGGTCCCTCCCAACCACAATGATTCTATGAATGTCTAGAATGAGGTCAAGAATAGCATGAAACAACCAAACAGCTGATTAAGAGGTCTGTTTTGAGAAACATGTGGAAGAGTAGGTCGAAATTCAGAAGTTTAGGACTAAGAGCAATGGAAGACAAATTGGGAATGCAGAAGGGAGACCTAAAGCAGGAAATTAGTCTTATTCACAAAAAGAACACAACAGGAAATCTGGAAAAACACAACACAGGTTTCAGTGGACGAACAGCAACCAGTGTTCAGAGAGCTAAATGACCAAAACAGCTACTATTGTTTACGCAGGCTTCCGAAAGTCACATGGGATGGTAAAAAAAGGCATAACCAAGGATCAAACTATAAATTTTTAAAGGATCTTGCCTACGCATGTTCTCCCTTGCTTCACTGCCCTCTTTCACTCAGAAAAATGATAAAAATGTTTAACCATTACTGAACAAAGTTCCGTCTTACATTAGTCACCACTATCACAAGAGACCAGGCAGAATCACTTTATTGCTTACAAAAATAAGAAAGGAGAAAAGGGGAAAAAAGTGTTGATTATCTGCAGGGCAGAATCACACAGCATTGCATTAAAAAAAAAAAATAAAATATAACCCTTACCTCTTTAACATTCTGCAAAGTTTCAGGAGTAATTGTAAAGTCTACTGGGCTTGGCATCAGTTTCCCTTTTTGTGACTACAAGCAATTAAAGAGTTAAACTGTAAGCTATTATTTATAAAACACACAGAGAATATTTAAAAATACAACAAAGTCAAGCAACAAAACCAAGAAGTTAAGTCTTTCTGTAAGTGGCTGAAGGGGCCCTGAGCTCTGCTGAGATGGCAGCCTGTACTCTGCATCAGCTAGGCAAGCTTTGCTTACCATTCACCGACCTCCCTCTCCATCCCTATCTCAGTGAGGTGCACTATCTTTTCCCTA